ACTTGGTATGGGTCCCATTGTGTTATTCAAAGTCTATGGCATTGCACTAAATATGAGTGAGAAGTATAAAATTTCACTTTTTACTGCAGTTTGCAGTTTAGTGGAATGGCAAACTGTTCCCTCAAAGATTATTATCATCACATAACTTTTTTTTTAATACACATTTAAGTAGACTCGTGCCCTTCAAACCCGTGTTGTTCAAGGGTCAATTATACTTAACTTCCAATACTTCCATTTTCTTACATGTAATGAGGAGATAGTACTTAGTTCATATTATAACTATATTGTGTGAGGTATTATAAAGTGCTAAACACAGTACTGGAGTCCTGGTGTGGAACTGTAGGATAAGCACTAGACTGAAATTCAGTTGTAACTGAAAAATCAGTGGTGCAAACTCACCAGCCACTCCTTAAAAATCCTATACAGGGTAATTTTGAATCAGAACTGACTTGATGGCACTTAACAACAACCACAAACATAGTAAGTTGTTATATAAATATTTGCTATTGTTAATATCTACAATATAATAGAATGAACTTTAACTTAAAACTTGAGTAGATATTTATTGAATAAATATTGAAAGAACTTCTCTGGAATGATAGAACTTAAAGTTAATTTAAAGAACTTCAGGTATGACAGGATGTAAAGTTCCTAATCATGTAATTATGGAAAAGGGAAAAAATCATCAGAGAGGATATGCTAAATGCTGATTTTATCTTGAATTTATCGGTGAGATTAAATTAATCTCCTTTCCATCTCATACTTACAGGCATTCACATAAAATGAACATAGATTGACATGCCAGAATAATTTGCTTTGCCAACATTGACAAAAAAATATCAATAGTTGCCATATACATATATATATATATATTTTTTTTTTTTTTTAAAGGCAGATTCATCTAAGACATAGTTTTAGGAATGAAAATTTCAGGCAATACGTTTCTTAATTGTTGAAACTCAATTAACCTCTACATATATTGTTATTAGATCTTTGTAAAGTAAACTTAATACTACTTTTAACAAAATGTAATTAGATTATAACAAATCTGTGCTGTGCTATGACTTCAGATCATTGTATTAGAAGAGCAGAACATTTGTAATTTTGTCATTGCCTGCCATAAAAGAAAACTGATAAGGTGTCAAAAGTTAATTTAGATGACAAAATAGACTATTTGGAATGATTATAACAATTTACTCACATTGGAACTTGGAAATAGCATGGCTGCTGTAAAAAAATAAAATAGAATAAAAAGGAGGACAAGTGTCCAATGGAGTGAGTAACCATGTAGGTTAATCATTAATGGCACAGACGAGAATTTACAGAAGGATCCAAGTCTCTTCAAAAGTTGCCAAGAAGAAAGAAGCTATAAACTTGTTAGAAGTATGGAGTTTGAAAATGAATTTCCAGTTTCACTGAGAGAGAGCAAAAGATCAAGATAGCAATGCGGAAGTATTTGATTATTCTGGAAGGACTGATTGATATAAGAGGAAATAAATTATACTCCTATATGAAGATTGAAGATAACATTATAGTGATGGATATCTTTGGCAAATTTGTTTCTCCTTCTTCATCCTTTTCTGTAAGCTTGATTGCAACATATAATATCCTTGCATGTAATAATTCTTAGGGTAAGACTTTTGTTGTTAAGTGCCATCGAGTCATTTCTGTGGCTGGTGGACTTGAACCACCACCTTGTATTTCAAATAGACCTGTGGTCCAGTGCTTATAATACAGCACCACATGAGGACTCCAGGCTAAGACTTCATAGGAAGGAAATGGGTCACTTTTTATTAGGAGATAGTTTTTAATAGAGTTTTGCAGATTTCTAAAACATTTTCCTACAAGATGTAGACATTGGAATCAATGAGAAAGTAACTGTTGATTTTGAATATTGGATAAATCTGGAGTCATTTTACAATATGTCTTTTGTTTCTATGATTCAGGATTACATTGTATGGTTGTTGTTGTTAAGTGCCGTTGAGCTGGTTCCATCTCTTAGCGACCCTATACAGGGTTTCCAGGGAGTGGCAGGTTTGTTTTGAGCCACCAACCCTATGGTTAGTTAGCAGTCCAGTGCTTATCCTATAGCACCACACCAAGACTCTATATTGTATGGTAGACCCCTGTTGTAATGAGGTGCAACCCTTTCAATGAGACTCAAGAGATTCACTTTATACATGATATTTAGAACTTTGGCTAATTATGTGATACTGTAATATGAGTTCTATTTGTGGGTTTTATTTACTTCCTCTCTTTTTCCTTTCATTTTCAGAACTTACCTATAGATTATACCTGGTCCCTTGAGATGGGACTGCTTTTGGTGGATGGAAAGATGAATAACTATACTATCTGTATACAATAATATTCAGATAAATGAAAGCAATGTTGTTATATAATGCTGAAATAAAAGTATAAATCCACTTTTCCTTCTAGATGCATATAGGCAGAAGTAACAACAGTATTAGCAATAAAGAGCTAGTCTATTTTTACTCAAACTTTAACTGTTGCCTTTTTCCTTCTAAATATAAAATAATTTAGGACAAGAGTTAACAAACTTATTCTGTAAAGGGTTACAAAATTAGGATCTTAGATATTAATTAGATAATTAATTAGATAAAGTTAATATCTTAGATGCTAACCATGTGGTCCTGGTTGCAGCTACTGAACTCTTCTAGTCCTACAGCAGGAAAGCACCATAGATAATAGAAATGAATTAGCCTGGTTATGTTCCAGTAAAACTTTATTTATAGACACTGTAATTCAGATTTGTATAACATGTTATAAAATGTTATTCTTTTTTACTCATTTAAAAATGTTTTTGTTGTTAAGTGCCATTGATTCAGTTCCATCCCGTAGCGACCCTATATGGGGTTTCCGAGAAGCAGCTGGTGAGCTTGAACTACAAACCTTGTGGTTCAAGCAGACTTTGTAGTCCAGCGGCAGCAGATTGGATTTTGGCTATAGGTTGTAGTTTGCCAACCTCTGTTTTAGGACCTTCCTATAGTACTGTTGTTGTTGTTAAGTGCCTCAGTAGTGTAGTACATTAATATCTGCTCAGTTAATCCAAACACTCATAGTATGTGAGCTTTCAGAAAAATGCTTTGAAAATTGGATAGAGCATGGAGAAGTCTCACAGGAAATTAATACTTTGGAGTCCTGTTGTGGCACTGTAGGATAAGCACTGGACCACAAGGTAAGTTTGAACCACAGGGTTGACGGTTCAGACTTACCAGCTGATCCTTGGAAACCCTATCTTTTCTATTAATCCAAACACTCATAATATGTGAGATTTCAGAAAAATAATCTGAAAACTTGCTAGACCTTGGAAAAGTCTCACAAGAAATTACTACTTAGTGGACTCAAATATTTATTGAGTGCCAACTCTATATGTGCCAGATATTCTCAAGACACAATAAACAAAAGTCAAAAGTCCCTACATTTACGTTCTAGTTTAGGAAACAAATATAAATAAGTAAGATTTACAGTGTTAAGGATGGTGATAAGTACTGTGGATAAAAATAAACCAGGGTAGGAGAGTAAATAACACAGGCAAGAATGAGAGTTGTAATTTTACATCAGGAACCTCTCATTGATAAGGTAACATTTGAACAAGGACCTAAATAAGGGAAGAAGTAAGCCATGGAAAACCTAGGAGATGAACCATTTATTTAGACAGAAGAAGTAGCAAATGTAAAGAAAGACCTTGAAGTAGAAGACTGATGGTACTGAAGGGGAAGCTTTAGAGATGAGATTAAAGGGGACAGGGTAATGAAGTTCAACCATAGTGTGGTGGAGTGCTTTGAGCAGCGGGATGACATGATATGACTTACATTTTAGCAGGGAAATCAGTTAGGAGGCTATTGAAATAGTGAAGTATAAATTGCTCATGGTTTAGACCAATGACCCACGTTTAGGTGGTTGTTGTTGTTATGTGCCTGGAGTCAGTTCCGACTCACAGCGACCCTGTAGAGGGTTTCTGAGGCTATAAATCTTTACATGGAACAACTGGTACTTTCGAACTGCTGCCCAATTCATAACCGCTATGCAGGACATATTTAGATCACTATTGTATTTTGAAGGCAGGCATAACAGAGTTAATAAAGTCAAGTGTAAGTCCCACAGTTTTGACCGAGGCAATTGGTAGGCTGAAGTTTCCATTTACTAAAATAGAGAAGACGTACCAGAGTTCTACTTTGGTCTTGGAAACATGACCATCACAGTTGAAATATTGTTTAGAAAGTTAGATATTTGCATCTAGAAGTTAGAGGAGAAGTCTGGACTATTATTTTTCAGAGTCATTGACATATAAATGGAACTAAAATCCATGACAATGGGTGATATCACCAAGGTATTGCTATTTATTAGTGTTGTTAAGTGCTGTTGAGCTGATTCCGACCCATAGCAACCCTGCATAGGGTTTCCAAGGTTGTACATCTTTATGGGAGCAGAAAGCCTCATCTTTCTCCCGTGGAACAGCTAGTAGTTTCGAACTGTTGACCTTGAGATTAGTAGCCCAATTCGTAACAGTTATGCTACCAGAGCTCCTTTTTTATTTGTGTTACTCTTTATTTATTGGTATTACTATCCCTACCTTTCTTATCCACTTTCAAAGAGGTAGGTAGTTTCTAGTAATGTATCCATTTTGTTAACTAACAAAGGGTGGGAATCTGAATCATAAACCTGACCTACACAAGAAGTATTATTAGTTGACCATCCTCAAATCTTGCCATGTTATAGACATGGGAGTAAGTTTCCCAAGTACCTCCTTGCTGGAAACTGTTTGCACTGGAGGTAAGTGTAAAAGGGGAGGTTGTGGGAAATGATGGGTTAAGGGCTTCCTAAACCTTTCCCAGACCTCAGAAATGACTTGATTCTGAGGAAGGGAAAGGTTCAGGCTGGTTTGTTTCCCTGAACCAGTACATGCAGCCCTAAATTTGATCTGCTGTCCTTAAACTGGGAGTCAGAAATCCCTTTTCTCTTCTGTTTTTCTGCTGCAGAAATTCCCAACATTCCCATATTGTGGGCTCCAGAAAGGGGTAAGCGAAGACTTCAATCCCAGCCAATCATTTCCAGATTAATAATTTTTAGCGTTTTGGTTTCTTTATCATCATAAAGCAAATGCTTGGGCCCATTTTTCTCATCTGTTTAATTTTCTTGTGGATTGTTATGCATTTTTGTTCTAGGATCATTCTGTATTCCTGGGCAATAGAGTTCAGATCCATTTGCTATTTCCATTTGTGTGCTGTTGTTCTCTTGTGGATTCTCATATACAGTTTATCTGTTACTGCTAACTAGATAGAAGTCACTTAACTCAGTGGACTGCTTCACTCAAAATCTCATCTTTTCCTAAATGGTGTTTTGTTCTCCTGTTGGCAGCTTGTCACTAGCTACATAACGCTTCTGATGATCTGTCATCATTTCTCTCCTGTTCTCTCTTCCTGTTTAACTGCCTTTGGTTTTTGTCTCCTTTGTCCCACTTCACTTATCTGCTGAATGATTTGCATTCTTCATTCACTGATGCTTTGTCCATCATCAAATGGCTACATATTGCCATATTCATCTGCTGTTTTAGCATTTTAAACTGTGCAGCACTATCTATCCACTCTCCTAACATTCCCTAACATCATGGCCTACCAAGTACTCTGCCATCTGCTTGCCTGCTCTTGACCAACCCAATCTGTGCCATTATAAATAGATGAAGATTATGTAGCACTTCTGTCTCCACTTGATTTGTACCTCTGAGTTGGACTGCTGACTGTGTTTGCTTGATACTACCTTTTCTACTTATTGGCTGTACATAGCTGCCTTATTAATTTGCTTAAGACATTGTATTCATCTTCTGTGTACTCAGCCTTGCAACTTGCTGAATGGGCCATATTGCTTCCTTATAGTTTTTCTGCATCTGATAAATCACTGACATTGTTCTTCTGTTGCCTTGATGCCCTCATTAGATTTTATTATTAAGAAAAGTTTAACCTACATATTGTCCAAACAAATTTTGGATATAGGAAAAAGCTTCACTGCTTAATAGTCCAGTCCAGTTTACTTCTAAACAAAGTATTTAAACTCAGTGTCACTCATCCTTTCTGCTTTTTTATACAACCCAACATTCTTGCCCTTACTTAGGAGTAGACCTTTTTAAATTGGTTCTAACCATTCATCATCTTTTCTTCAATTGTCTTTTAACAACATACATTGTGTACATTTGTCCCTTGTGTAGGGGATCTTTCAACAAATTTTCCTTATACTAAATTTATTTCTTAGTTTATTTCCCTGATTTTTCCAGGACTTCATCAGGAAATATTGCTCCTATTAATTTTTTCTTTTTTATTAAGACCAGAAAAATTTTATGAATTTATAAGTTCCATCTATAATAATAATAAAGTTCCTTACAGTTCTCTGAAATGTACAGTAGCTTTCTACTCTACCCCATTTTTTTCCTTTGAGAATTTCATCTGTCAGTATCTCCATAATTTATGTAATATTAGCTCTTTAGAGATCCTTGTTATATATTTATCATTTGCTCCTTTTAACTGTCTTGTGTGTGTGTGTGTGTGTGTGTGCAAATTTAAAATTTGCGTTCTTCTATTACTTGTAAAGCATATAAAAGGAACTTGCAATATAAAACTATCTGTACTCTATAAAGTTTGTAGTCTTATTAGCTTATATTCAAATGCAAGATAAGATCAGATGCAAGAATTAGAGAAGAATTTTAGTGACACCTGTAAACAATTTCAGGAGTCTAAGGAGGAGACAGACGTAAAGAAATGTGTATTTAAATTTGAAATATTCTGGTATTTATATGCACTTGAAGTGTGGAAATAAAACTCAGTTAGGATGCTTAGCATCTTAAGTAAATTATATATTTTTTCTAATAAAAAGAGGAAAAGAAAAATGCTAAAGAGAGTGATAAATTTACAGAATATGAAGAAATGGTTAGACAGAGGTTCTCCCCCCCTTTGATAGTAGAGATAAAGTTAATCAATGTGAAGAAGGAGGTTGTTCTAGGAAAGTCAAGAAAGTAATTTCAGTAGCTCTTAATACTTATGTCTATCTAAAAGGAAATTAAATTAATTGCAGAGATCAGTGAAATTACGTAATAGCATGAAAGATGAATAAATTCAGGATATTGTATTAGAGGCAACAGAAAGTATAAACTTTTACAAAAATCACAGAAAGTCAAGCAATACAATTTTAAAAAGGAATAAAAAAGGAAGTGAAGTTGAAATAACATAGCTGTTGGATGCATGGGCAATAGCGAAACTGATTCTGAAGGTTAAGTCTAAAAAATGACCAATTTTAGGATAGGATGATCAGATGTCTTTGAAAAGGATTAATGTATTGCTTTCAAGAAGAGTTAAGTAAGGATTTGACAGGGAAACTTCGAAAGGTGATAATAGGACTGAAATGAGGTCACCAAATCATGTGTAGAGGAACCAGTATTGAGAATAGGATTTCAATTCAGTTATGTGGCACTCAACCTCATACCTCATACACAGCCTTATACCTAAAGAAATTTTCCTAAAATGATCCTTGGATCCAGTTCCCAAAGATTCTGATTAACTAGGTTGGGGATATGACGTAGGTATAGTATGTGTGTTCTGTGTGTGTGTTAATCTACTGGTGATACACAATGTTAATTGAATTGAACTTTGACCCATGATTTTACAGACCTTACAAGGAGTCCTGGTGTGGCACTGTAGGATAAGCACTGGACCGTAAAGTCAGTTTGAAACAAAAGGGTTCAGACTTACCAGCCCCTTCTTGGGAACCCTATACAGGGTCACTGTGAGTCAGAACTGAGTCAACGGCACTTAACGACAACAACAGCAAGAATTGCATAATCTAAAAAGAATTAATGTGTCTCCAAAGGGTATAAAATTGGAGTAATTAAATATGCTATAATAATGTATGAAGGGGCTTCAGAAAGTTAAAGTAAAAAAATAATTGAAAGATAATGGAATTTTTCCAAGAATATTTTGAAGTCCCCTTATACTGAAGAAAGATGTCTTTTTATCCACTATGTAATAATGTTTTTATATACTAATTTCAATAAATTATTAGTGATGTTACATAATCTATTCAGTTCCGTTCAACCAAAGTTCTTCACAAAACTACCAAACAGAGAAAATGATTGAGTGACTATTTTCTTAATTCTCCAAAGGATGGTATATAGAGTGGTACCATGCTATATATATATATATATGATAAATGGTATATAAACTAATAGCATTTTGTATGTCTGTTTTGTTTTTATGTACCATCGGATAGTTTCCATCATGTAGTGACCCTGTATAAGATTTCTGAGGAGCACCTGGTGAATTTGAACCACTGACCTTGTGGTTCAAACAAACCTTATGGTCAAGTACTTATCCTGCAGTGCCATACCAGGACTTTATTCATTATTTATAGGAGAGAAATTAATTTATTACATAGAAGAATTCTCTCAACACCTATTGAGATAGACTTACATATACCATATTGTCAGCTAAGAGTATATAACATAAAGATGAGGCCTTGCTTTTAAGAGGCTTACATTCCAGAAGAGGAAGAAAACATATAAACAAAATATGAATTTCTAATATCATCCACAAAATGATCTTCTAATTATTTGAATAAAATGTTCAAAATCAAACTGCTTATACTCATATATATGGAAATTCCTTTACCTCTTCTTAACATAATTGATTGAAGAATGACTTTGTATTAAAGCATTATCATACCTAAAGGATACAGTAATTTAAATGTGAATATAGTGTGACACTGTAAATCAGCACTAGACTGCAAACCACAAGGTCAGCAGTTCAGACCCACCAGCTGCTCCTTGGAAACCCCACTCGATGGCACTTAACAACAACAACAACAATGAATCCCTTTAATTTTATGCCTGGAGTATTCAGTGTCAGATTAGTGATTTCATTGGTGGCTATTAGTAAGCAGTGTTGCCTAAAATCAGATTTATTTACTTTATAGAGGAACAGGAAAGAATGACTAGAGATAGAAAACTAGCATCTTTAGATGTGATTGCAAGCACAAAGAGGTATCCTCTTCCTTACCCACAGGTACAAGTATATACATAAAGTAATTTTGAAAATGTTCTGTAATTTAATTTAACTTTACTACCAAGTAAAACTCACTTGAATTCCTAGTGTCATAAAGTTCCATTATATTAATTAGTTTTTGTGTTGTACTTTATTAATTCATCATCTGAGCCAGGACTTTGTTTGTCCTCCCAGTATTGAAATGTGCCTGCATATTTAATAGTAGATATCTTTTGTTCCTACTACTCACCACATCACTGATTCCTTGAAAGATATATTTAGGATGAGTTTTAGTAACCTGGTTTTCTTCTCTTCTGATGCCCTACTCTCCTTTTTTTTTTTTTTAAAGGCATAACTATGGAAAGGTTATGGCAGGAGAAAGGCACTAAAATAGAAATTGCATCCAGATTTAAGTTGTTTTGTAACAAATTTAATAATTTCACAAAGTTTTGTTTTACTTATATTCATTCTGGAGGAACAAAATTTTTTAAGCAGAAAAAAAAGTATGAAGATATTTTTAAAGTATAAGAACTGGGATAAAGAAAGAATAAAAAAGTGTCATTTTACTAAACTTGTTTTAGTGGTAAATATTCTTTTATTATTATCTCTGGAATCTTTTTATTATTGTTTTAAAGAAAGTTTAATTTAAAATAAAGTATAATGATATGTTTCCCTGTGTGAAAGTTAATCTGAAAAGACAATCAATACCTTGATCTCACCCTGGTTGTTGTTGTTAAGTGCCATCTAGTCAGTTCATGCTGCCAAGACAATTGCAACTCAAAGCAACCCTGTATAGATAGGGTTTCCGAGGAACAACTGGTGGGTTTGAACCACCAATTTTGTGGTTAGTAGGCCAGTGCTTTATCCTTTTATTGTGCTTCAAATCCTTACTATGTTTAATAGCAAGAAAATCCTCTAAATTTACTTGCAATCTGGACATTCTCTGTAAGCAACTGCTCCTTAACAATCATCAAAAACATATTTTCTTTTTCCTT